ATTTTCAAAGAATTAATGTATTTTCACTATATAATCAATAGAGTCCAACCCTAAGAACAGAACCCCTGACCATGGGTCATAAAATTCACAATTGTGGAAGAGGTATTCTCCCCCATCATAACTGTGCACTTACTTTCATGTACTTTATTTAATACCCAGGAGCAGGGAAGATTTCCAAAGAATTAATGTATTTTCAGTATATAATCAATAGAGCCCCGCCCTAACACCAGAACCCATTACCCTGGGGCCATAAAATTCACAATTTTGGAAGAGGTATTCTTCCTCATTAGAACTATATACTTAGTTAGTTTGTTAAATACCCAGGGGTAGAGAAGAAGATTTTCAAAGAGTTAATGTATTTTCACTATATAATCAATAGAGTCCCACCCTAAGACCAGAACCCCTGACCCTGGGGCCATAAAATTCATAATTTTGGAAGAGACATTTTTCCCCATCATAACTATGTACTTACTTACTTTATTTCACTTTTACCCCATAATTAATAAGTCTCTTTATCTATATAAAAATTTATTATATAAAAATTTTGATTTGAAACCGTGTTGTGCAAAAGTGGTCAAGCTATATTTAGATGGTGATTTAGTGGATTTAGCAAAGCCCGTTATTCATAAATTTTCCCATGTTTCCCACTATCGTTGATGTCCTTGGCATAATATACTGACTAGATAGTGATTCGTTACATTTCTATTTCATTGTGAATTAAAATTGTAGATTTAGTTTTTAAAAATGTAGACATAGATTTAAATTACACGAGGACTCCTATGCCAATATCAATAGTCCTCGGCCACTGACATCAAACAAGAAGGTAGCCGCACGGGATTTACACGCATATTTGGCCTCCTTGGCGTCAGACACAGAGACAGATCCGCACGAGATTTGCATGCATATTAGGCCTCCTTAGCTCCTGACCAATCAACCTGCCTAATTTAAATTTCGGTAGAATTATCCAGAAATCGACACCGCGAACCTTCAATGAGTATCACAGAAAAAAAAACTAGCAATGGAAATATACTGAGGTATATTTTGAAAATGATTTTCTAACATTCTATTAACAAAAACTATATAATTTACACATTATAATATGACAGGACTTTGATATACTCTTGGATAATGAATAACATTAATTACCAACTGCTTATTATTATTTTATGTGACTTGTAGCCGTCTTTTGATTTGTTCCTTAAAAACAAAATATTCCTTTTTTATCTTACCTGAAAACAGAAACAGTACTGTTCATGTAGCTAATAATTCCAATCTTAATTTTATTTATTGATTCCCTGTGTTTTGATTGGACGAGAACAAATTCAAGAAAAAGTTTACACATCGATGAATTTTTTAATCAGAACTTCTTTTTTGACCTATATATCTTCTAGACTGTTGTAAAAATAATGAAAACAGATACTTCTAGTCCGTTTTAGCTAATTTATGATTACATGAAACTTGAAATTAAAAAAAGCAAAACAGGAGATAAACAGACTGACAGACGGGAATATTATGTTTATGTCACTGTCGGATCACGAGTGTGAATTTTAAGAAATCGCTGATCATGCTGTCATTTTCTCGACATTCCATATCAGCTTAGTTGGTATCGTTGTGATAGGGAAAAGAAACGTACCTCAGACTTTTGCCTTATCAGCATCAAATTCATATATTTACATCCTACAGATCCCATATTCTCCCTAAATCTTAAAAATAAACTTAATAATTAATTCCTAGACCAACCTAGATGGTGAATATTTTTTGGAATTTCACAATTTGGTGACTTTTTGCAAGAACGTTCATATACTTGAATGAAAAAGAAATCCCTTGGGCAGAAATACAAAAAATATTGGGAAAATGTGATAATTTGACGCTTTTTCAACAAATTCCCATAGGGTCCAATAATAAATAATTTGACAACTTTTGAGATGGCCCCCTAAGAAATCGGGATGCTAAACATTCGATTTTTAAATCTTAACAAAATAAATAAAACAGTAAAAATCAATTATCAAAAATTATCAAAATCCCAAGGGCAGAAACAATTAGACTCGCCCTCGTTAAGAAAATATTTCTGTTCGTTATCATTGTTTTTTCTTTTCTAAAGAAACTTGTTTTTTTAAGTCCGAAGTTTCACATTGCGATTAACTTAGCTGAGAAACAAACCGAAAAGTATTTTTTTAAAAAAGAAATAATTCAATTGAAATGTTCAGAGCAGTGACAAAAAGATTTATACATATTACAGTAGTGAAGAAATAACAAACTGTCACAATTTGCCGATAATCTTTGATTACATACAAAATATGCTTTTTGATATTCCTTTTTTCAGATACATGCTGTTGTTTCAGCACATAGATCAAAATATCTAGAAAAACCCACTGATGCTTAAAATCTCAATATTTTTCGGATGGTGAAAAAAAGGAACTCACTCTTAGTTTATACACGTTTTATTAAAATTGCAAAATTATGAATATTTCCCTAAAAATAAAAAAAAGATATAAACTTCTGTCAACTTAGTAAAGTTTAGTTGTTCATTTTATCGTTTTAAATTAAATTAAACCGGATACGAAAACTGCGCCATTATGTCTAGAATTTGCAAAAGGATATTACTGTTGATACTAGTGCTTTTGGTAGTTTATTGTATTGAATTCAACATGGCGACTCTATTACCGTTCTCAAGCGAAGAACTATCTGCAGCTTTCTCCCGAGCAAACAAGAGATTCATGCTAAGTTTACTGAAGCAGTTACCATCAGAATCCAATATCTTCTACTCACCGTTCAGCATTTCAACAGCCCTAGCAATGGTCCACATGGGAGCAAGAACAGAAACCCTGAAAGAAATGACTTAAGCCCTTCACTTTGAGGAAATGGACAAAGATGTCCACGCAGCATTTGGTTTTTATCTTGATTTCTTGTCAAAGGAAACCGATGAATGCACACTTAAAACAGCCAATAGAATCTATCAAAGCATGAAGTTCAAACCTGAAGAATCTTTCCAAGAAGACTGCAACAAACATTTTAAAGCTACATTAGAGACTGTTGATTTCTCTCAGTAGGAAGCAACAAGCAAAAAAATTAACTCCTGGGTCAGCCAACAAACTGAAAATAAAATCCAAGATCTGATTCCAGCAAGTGCGCTAAATGAACTAACATTCATGGTTCTAGTAAATGCCATCTACTTCAAAGGAAACTGGGACAGAAAATTTGAAAGCGAGCTCACACAAGTAATGGAGTTTCGGAACACCGACAAAAAAGTAAACATAGATATGATGTATCAAAGAGACTTTTTCAATGTCTGTCACTTGCCACACTTAATGCTTAGTGCACTTGAGCTGCCATACAAAGGAAAAATCCTCAGCATGCTTATTCTCCTACCCGAAACCTTAGATGATATAGAACATCTAGAGAAAAATTTAACAGAATCTGTCCTCAAAACTGTAGTCAATAACCTAATGGAGAAAGAGGTTGCTGTGTATCTTCCGAAATTCAAAATGGAGTCGACCTTTCAGTTGAAACCATATTTGTCAGCCTTGGGTATGCCTTTAGCATTCGATGCAAATAATGCTTATTTTACAGGCATGGACAAAGATAAAGAAATTTACATCAGTGAGGTGTTCCATAAAGCCTTTGTTGATGTTAACGAAGAAGGAACTGAAGCCGCCGCAGCCACAGGTGTCGTTATGAAGAAGCGATATATAGAGATCACCCCCAGAGTTTTGGGCAAAACACCTTTTCCGTTTTTTATTCGAGATTCAGTTAATGACGTCATTCTGTTCATTGGGAGATTTTATAAACCTACTTGCGCCTCTGTAAAGGATGAACTTTAGTTTAGAGTAATGTAATCTAAATATCATTATAAATGGTGATATTATGTTGGATCGTTTATTTAACTTGTTTATACTAGAAAATCAAATATGTTTAAAAATGTTTGAGATAAAAAAAAAACTATATTCATGATTAAACACCATTATAAACCACAGTTTTGGTTGAGTTTAAATACAACTTGATGCATAAGTGAAATATGCTAGGATGTATAATTGTGTATATCCGTTTAGATTTTATTGAACGGAGTGAAAAAGATAATGGCCTTGACCTGATTATGACCTTCCTCCTAAAATAAAACGATCAATCATATTTTTTTAAATACCATCACAAAGTAATTTTGTCCTTTGAATAGATGTATGAGAAGAATCCCTGCTTAAAGGTTGCAGATATAGTGTGCATGGCCAATTTTTAAAATGCTTTAGATTTTGACATTCGTAATTCGTTTATGGGTATTTCCTTTGCCTTTTGTATAGCAGCCTCAATTAATTTTGATGGATATTTTTTGTCTGGAAAGAAATATTCTTAGTTCACACAATAATGTATGTTTTACGTAAATTAATTGTGTAATTTAGATTTTCTCTAATTACCATATCTGAAATAGGTACATACACTGTTGGAAAGTTATTTCACTTGCTACATGTACCACCTCAACGGCTCTACTTGCAACACATCGAGTCTTTAGAAGACAATCATAAAATTTTATCCGAGACTCATGTCAAAATCTAAAGCATTTTAAAAATTGGTCATGCACACTATATCTGCAACCTTTAAGCAGGGATTCTTCTCATACATGTATTGTATTTGAATAATGAAATTTTCACAGACTCAAGAGGACAAAATTACTTGGTGATGATATTAAAAAAATATAATTGATCGTTTTATTTTAGGAGGAAGGTCAGAATCAGGTCAAGGCCATTATCTTTTTCACTCTGTTCAATTAAAAGTTTTGTCTTTGAACTTAATGGACAACCCTTGTTATTCTTTCAGCATGCTTAATTACTAATTTTTAATTTTCACATATCACCTGGATGATAGGACTTAATAAGACATTATAACATTGTTCAAATCTTTCTCGAACATTATATCAAAATATGGATATCAAAACAAATCGTATATTGTATTTCGTTTGTTAAGTTTTAACAGGATAATAGATTTAAACTCCTTTGCAAATCGAAACTTGATATTTCTTGTCACGTTCGTAAATTGTTGGCATATTTGTAACTGCGCATTTCATACAAGGAAGTCTAAATATTCAAACAAAAAACTGGTTGGACCTTTTCTTCTTGCTGCCAGACTCTCTGCAGGTTAAAAATTATTAAAAATCTGCAAGAGTATATAAATGATGGAGGAATACAGCTTTGGGAAAAACCCCTCTTAGATAAGGTAACTACAGGAAATCTAAATTACACAATCAATTTACACTTAACATTGAATTCTTATGTTTCTTGAAAATTTAGCAGTAAATGACAGAGTTCTTTTCAAGGTTATTGGATTTTTATTTCCGAATGATATTTTTTTATCCATACATTATAATGGTTAACAAAAGTCATCGATTAGTGCTAACCCGTGAAATCAAAGTCCTGGGAGTGCTGAATCGAGTTGACGTCTTCCAGTAAATAGTGGAATCGATCCATAAGTTAACTATCATATTATATATATATATATATATATTCTATGATAAATCCCGATGAAAACCATATATAAGTAATGAATCAATGTCTACTTAGTATAGTTAGTATAGCCCGTTATGCATAAATTATCCCAAGTTTCCCACAATCGTTGATTTCCTGGCATACTATACTAACTAGACAGTGATTCCTTATATTTCCATTCCCTTGTGAATTAAAAGTGTTGATTTAGATTTTAAAAATGTAGACATAGATAAAGGTAGCTGCACGAGATTAACATGCATATTTGGCCTCTTTAACGTCAGACAAAGAGACAAATGCGCACGAGATTTGCATGTGTATTGGGCTCCTCAGCTCCTGACCTATCACCTTGCCCAAAATCCGGTAAAATCATCCAGAAATCAACACTGTTATCTTTTTAACAGTTATCACAGACAAAAAATAGAAATGGAAATATACCGGGTATATTTTGAAAATGATTTTTCAACTTATTCTATTAACGAAACAATATAATTAACACATGATATAGGATAGGAATAGATCGACTTTGATATACTCTTGGATAATGAATAACGTTAATTTCCAACTGCTTTTTATTATTTCATGTGACTTGTAGCCGTCTTTTGATCTGTTCTTTAAAAATAAAATATTCACTTTTTATCTTGTATGAAAACAAAACAGTACTACTAATGTAAGTAGTATTTTCTGTTCATAAACTTGATTCTTTACCGCAAAATGCTTGCATTACTTATTAACAGTTCAACTACTTCATATCTAAACAGATTTCTTTGTTAGAGTTACTTTCTGAAGTCTGTTATCATGAAAGATCCGTCCCACTGAAAAATTTCAAAGTTGATAACCACAATCATACAAGAATATCCCTTTCAATAATAACGATCTACTATTTTAAAAGATTAAACATTACCTCATTACCCTACATAGACACCTGATACAACCCCTGAAACTTCCATAGTCTGTTTTTTTTTTGTTTTTTGTTTGTTTTTTTTTTTTTGCTTTGTTCACTGAACTTTTTGTATTTAAGAAAATATTTCTGTTCGTTATCATCGCTTTTTCTTTTCTAAAGGAACTTGTTTTTAAGTCCAAAGTTTGCCATTGTGATTAAACTAGCTGAAAAACAAACCGAGGAGTATTTTTTAAAAAAGAAATAATTCAATTGAAATGTTCAGAGCAGTGACAGACCAAAGATTTATACATTTTAAAGTAGCGAAGAACAAGCAAACTTTTACCGTTGAGGTGTTTCCACCCTCACAATTTTAATGGTTCAAAGAACAAAAACTCCTTTGATATACTTTAAAATTTCCAATGATTGCAAAAAATGTATAGGTCGCCATATTATTTAAGATGCGAAACATAAATAAACAGAAGTGTATGTCAACATAAAAAAATAGCACATTTTTTTGTAAACAAATTATGAAAAATATGTAAAAACTGGTTAAAATGCATAATTCTGATGCTGAATGTTCATAATTACTTCCTACTTATAAGATACATTTGAATTGTGAATATCAGGGAAACTTTCTTACATTAGAAGTACAATGAAGCAAATGCCTGAATGAAGAGACCTTAGAAGGAGTTATTGCCCTTGTCAATATTTTTAAAACATTGAATAATTGATCAAATAAATAAAATATGCATTTTAAAAATTCTTTTACTTAACAATATTTATCATTACACCTATTGTAAAGCATTCTTCCAAAAGATATTGTTCTATTAGGTATGAATTTAAACTAATTACAGGGTTTCCAAAAACGTATGACATCATAGGAGGGTTGAATTACCTTAACTTTTTCTGATTATCTTAGATAACATGCAGATAATGTTTTTGTTAGATACATGTTATTGTTTTAGCACATAGATCGAAATATCTACAAAACCCCACTGATGCTTAAAAACTCAATGCTTTTTTCGGGTGGTGATAATAAAAACGCATTCACTCTTATACATGTATTGTCAAAATTGCTAAATTATGAATATTTCCTTAAAAAAATAGAACTTCTGTCAGCTTAGTAAAGTTTACTTGTTCATTTAATCCTTTCAGATTATACTAAACCAGATACTAAAACTGCATCATTATGTCTAGAATTTGCACGAGGATTTTCCCATTGATACTAGTGCTTGTGATGGTTTATTGTATTCAGTACAAAATGGCAACTAAATTACCTTTCTTCAACAAAGAAATGTCTGAAGCTTTCTCCAGAGCTAACAAGAGATTCATGCTAAATCTACTGAGACAGTTGCCATCAGAATCCAATATCTTCTACTCGCCGTTCAGCATTTCAACAGCCCTAGCAATGGTTCATATGGGGGCAAGAACAGAAACCCTGAAAGAAATGACTCAAGCCCTTCACTTTGAGGAAATGGACAAAGTTGTCCATACAGCATTTGGCTCTTATCTTGATTTTTTGTCAAAGGAAACTGGTGATTGCACCCTTAAAACTGCCAATAGAATTTATCAAAGCATGAGGTTGAAACCTGAAGAATCTTTCCTAGAAGACTGCAACAAACATTTTAAAACTACTTTAGAGACCATGGATTTCTCCAAGTCTGAAGCAGCAAGCAAGAAAATGAATTCCTGGGTCAGCCAGCAAACTGATAATAAAATCCAAGATCTGATTCCAGCAAGTGCGCTGAATGAATTTACATTCATGGTTCTAGTAAATGCCATCTACTTCAAAGGAAACTGGGACAGAAAATTTGAAAGCGAGTTCACACAAGTAATGGAGTTTCGGAACACCAAAGAAGAAATTGACACAGACATGATGTATCAAAGAGCCTATTTTAATTACTGCCACTTGCCACACTTAATGCTTAGTGCACTTGAGCTGCCATACAAAGGAAAAACCCTGAGCATGCTGATTCTACTTCCCATAACTGTAGATGGTATCGAGCATCTAGAGAAAAATTTAACAGAATCTGCCTTCAAAACTACAGTCAGTAACCTAAGGGAGAAGAAGGTTGCTGTGTATCTTCCGAAATTCAAAATGGAGTCGACCTTTCCGTTGAAGCCATATTTGACAGCCTTGGGTATGCCTTTAGCATTTGACGCGGACAATGCTGATTTCACAGGCATGAACAAAGATGAAGTTATTTACATTAGTGAGGTTTTCCATAAAGCCTTTGTTGATGTAAACGAAGAAGGAACTGAAGCTGCCGCAGCTACGGGACCCGTTGTGGAGCCTTCATGTATGGAGATGACAGCAGAGTTTCGGGCAAATCACCCTTTTCTGTTTTTCATTCGCGATACGGTTAATGACGTCATTCTGTTCGCTGGGAGATTTTACAAACCTTCTAGCGCCTCTTTAAAGGACGAACTTTAGCTTAGAATGCTGTTAATCAAAACAGTAATATTCATTTGATTGCTGAAGGACTTGGAATTTTTGCTTATCATTTAAATTAATGTAATAATCTTATCGTTTATTTTACTTGTTGATACTAGAAATTCAAATATCTTGAAAAGATGGTTTAAATATTAAAAAGTATAACGCTGACTAAACAACATTATTATCCCTTTTTGTTCAATTTCAATGTAACCTAATGAACTGGAAAACTACAATAAGATGCATACATGTAATTTAATTATCGGTTTAACATTTTATTAAACGAGTGATTGAAAAAGACAATGCCTCTGGTCTTTCCGTGTTTCAAAAATAATGCGATCAAAATTAATCTTATTGATACTATCATCAAATGATATTGTGTGCTTGAATAAGTGAAAATTTCATTAATATTCAAATACAATAAATATAAGAAGAAAGTGTACATGGCCAATGGTTAAAATGTTGGGGTTTTCAATTAAGACGATTATCTTCTTTAAAAAAGCCATAACCTGACAACACTTATACGTGTCATAAATGGAGCAGTTGAGGTCATTGTTGATAATCTAAGAGACACTACGAGAAGTGAAAAGCTGGACAGTTATTTTATAAGAAATAGGATACCCTCATGGGTGTCGTTGTTAAAACTACAGCGCAAAGTCTATCTGGGCTGTGCAGCGGGTATATACGATCTGCTACAGATGATCTCATAAAATGTGTATTATCCAATTTCCATTCCGACGTCGATACGATATATCCTGGTGAGCTTGAGATAAAAGATACCACAGAGTCTGACACATCTGTTTAATACTTGGATATTTTACTTGAAAAAGACGTTAATGGTAATCTAACAACCAAGCTTTATGATAAACGTGATGACTCTAACTTTTCTATCGTCAACTTCCCTTACTTATGCAGCAATATACCTTCATCACCTGCATACGTAGTCTATATATCTCAATTGATTCGATACGCAAGAGCATGCTCTACGTATGAACAATTTCTAAAACGAGGTTAATTATTGAGAAGAAAGATGATGAAACAAGAATATCAGCAATCATAATTTAGTAAGTTCTATGGTCGATACAATGACCTTGTCAGCAAATACAATTTATCAGTGAGTCAAATGCTGAGTGACGTTTTTCATACTAATTTTTAGTCCATTATTTGTACACTGAATTAACGACGGATTTTCTTGTTATTTCCTGATCATGACTAGGAGCACACGGTGGGTGTGACCGGTCAGCAGGGGATGCTCACTCCTCTATGGCACCTGATCCCGCCTCTGATGGTTCGGAAGTCCTCCTGATTTGTACTGTTTTATGGACTTTGAGATTGAATTTTGTTATTTCCACATCCTTCTTGAAACAATTAGAAATCAATCTGACAACACATATGTAGGACTCCAAAGTGCGATGGGACTCCAAAGTCCGATGGTCACGCCAAAGTCCGATGGTCTGCGCCAAACCCCGATGGTTTGGCACACCAAAGTCCGATGGCGCATAAACAACTAACATTTATGACGTCATAGTACTACTGCTCAAAAATGCGATGCCATGCCAATGAATAAAATATCATAAATACAAAAACTACACCTCGTCTTTTGAAGACTTATCAGTCGAACAATGAGTATCAACTCTAACCTAAATATCATAGCTGGGTGCAAGACTAATCTATATCAGTCCAATAGTGTGCGAGGACTAACCCTAAAATCTCTCGGGTGGGTTCGAAGAAACACATTAGTGTTCAAGGACTAACCCTTATCACTCGAATGGTGTACGAGGACTAACCCTAATACCTCTGTTGGGCGAAAACAAAAAGCAATATCAGTAAAAATGTATAGGAGATGAATACTGAATCAATGGATTTTGAATGCAGAAGAACGTCATGACCTCGGACTTTTGTGACGTCATAAACGTTATTTGTTCCTCCGCACCGTCGGACTTTGGCGTGTCAGACTATCGCACTTTAGCGTCGCGCGTCTCATAGGAAACGAGCCATCGGAACTTTGGCGTGACCATAGGACTTTGGCGTCCGTAAAGACAACAAACCATCGAGGTTTGGCGCAGACCATCGGGGTTTGGCGAGACCATCGGACTTTGGCGTCACCATCGGACTTTGGAGTCTTATACATATATGACAATGTGACATGGAAAAGAAAAAGAAAAGCAGTCTACAAAGCATGTGATAAATATTCAAGATCCTTTTTTGTTACGTTTCTATAAATATGAATGTCAACTTGAGGCGTACAGCTTGTATATACAAAGTTATAACCTATAACGTGTTTAGTTTTAAATTTTTACGTTTACAAACTGATATTCTATATAAAATTACATTGCAATAGTATGGCTATTATAAGAAAATTATAGTTGTCTGTTCTAGGATTATTATAGACAACTTTTGATTTCTTTTACTCATTCAATCATGTATTTTTCACGTACTTTTGATGAAAAGGCTAAATAAGTTGAAGTCCACATTGTTTATATTTTCACTGTTCATATTATATCAGCATGTAAATATTAAAAGATGTTCCATTTGTACAATATTAAAAATGTTAAAAAGAATTAAATTACAAAACTTGATATACATGTACTTACTTTCATCTAATCTTTATTTCCTCCATTTGGAGATTTGATTTGTTTGAACTGTACATTTCTTTTAAGGAAGTCTGAACATGCAGATATATAATTATTACTGCATGGAATTACTTTTTCTTATACCCGTCATAAGATGATTAAATATTGGATACTGATTTAACAACATAATTTTCGCCCCTTTTGCCCTTGTTACATATTACCATGATGTTGGCGAATTTAAAATGGAGCGAGTTCAAAGAACACAGAAAAAATTCTTAAACAGAACTGTGACTGGGCGAATTTAAAACGGGGCAAAATTGTAAGTAAGTGTAAAACATTGTAAAAGGGCGAAAAGAACACGGGGCGAAAATAATCCTGTATACAGTATGTCAGAAAACTTTTAATTATATTGTTAAAATGGTATTTTTTAATCATACATTTAAACAATCAATGTACCGGTAATTCATCTACTGGTTCTGGATGTACACGATTTTGTGTTTTATATCGTGAATGGTTGTGACAGGCTTCGGACAGTTTGTAATATAACGAGTTGTAAATTATTCGCCTCTTGTCTTCAAGGATTTTTTTTAAATGTACAGTAGAAATTTCTGATATCTGAAAAATATAAGATAAAATGTATAAATTTAACTTTGTTATAACAAGAAAAAAACCCTATATTTATTAAAATGGGGAATATGATTGGAACCATTGCATTTTAAAATAACACACCTCAGCGTAAGTCAATTACAATTTTTTTTTTTTTTTAATTTATTGCTTCTGTAAATCGACCTTAAATAAAGACACAAAAACATTTTATTGTTTATACTCATGTCTGTATGAATAATACTACAAAGAAGGCTTAAGATGAAGATATAATAAACCAAAGATGCCTACAGATCTATCAAATTTGAGAAATAAAGTCCTTTAATGATGCTTTATAACTTTAGCTTGCCCAAATAAGTTAAACAAGATGGAAAACCACATTTTAAACTGTCACTTCCAATGACAAATGAAGAAAAACAATCATGAATGTGGGAGTTTTTTTCCTATTCGATAAAGGATATATATCCAAATGTATCCAGATTGCCTACAGTCTCCTAGAAACCGGTAACTTGTATGTTCAATCTTAACCTTAAACCTTAGAAATTATGATATGAGTATAATTAAATGCTTATCCACTGGCTGTCAGTGGGACAGTTCTTTCGTCAATCCCTTGACAGGAACTATGCCCCTTGGGCAAGCCCTCGGGGAATAGTTTCCTATCGCAATTTCGAAAAAATATACGTCCCACTCACAGTCAGTATTATCCAATCATTATTTCCCCCATTAGCAGATTTAATTTTTTGAACTGTGCATATCGTTTAAGGAAGTCTGAAAATTCCTCTCCTTTAAAATAATATAAAATTTACAATAGATATCATGGTTACTTTATTTGAATTCCATGAAAATGCCCTATTTTCTACATAATTCTTTTAAGCCGTAAAAAACGGGAAAAAAGAAAGCTGAAATTGATTATGACGTCAAAATGGATCTAGCATCAACAAATTTGTCTAAAGTCATTTACTAGATGTTGACCTTTAATTTGAAAAAAAAAGAAATATTAAAAGTTCTATCTGCTTTACAATATTGAAATATCTACTTGCTTAAGGTCAAATAAATGAAAGATGCCTACAATTATCAAATTTGAGGAATAAATCCCTTTAATGATGCTTTATAACTTTAGCCTGGTCAAAGAAGGTGTTTCGGGTCATAATTTGTAGGTAAACAAGATGAAATATCATATTTTAAACTTTCATTTTGAATGAAAAATTAAGAAAACCAGTATTGAATATGGGAGTTTTTTTTCATATTCGACAAAGGAAATGTATCCAGATTGCCTACAGTCTCTCAGAAAACGGTAATTTGTATGTTTATAGCCTCTTCTTTAAAATAATATCAAATTTATTGTAGGTATCGGGATTACTTTTCACGATTTCAAATTGAATGCTGTGAAAATACCATATTTACTACATATTTCTGCTAAAGTCGTTTACTAGATCTTGACCTTAAATAAAAAGATCCAAAAGCTTAATAAATAGATTCTACTTCAAAGGTTTTATTAACAAGATAGCTTAAGCGGATAAAGCTTTAATTACTTTTCCAGTGCGACAATCACTAATTCTCGGTTATTATTGCTGTATTTTGAGGTGCGTATTTCATACAAGGAAGTAAAAAAAATTAAAATGTACCCGAATTTACCTTCTTTTTACCTAACTTCTGTCATATATTGTCGAAGGTAGGTCAGCAAATGTTACCTCCCTTAGTAAACCTCTTAATAAAGTAAAGTTCCTTTACACATGATTGAGAATATTGAATAAAAGACCTTGAAAAAGATACACAGAGTACTGTAATTTTAAAATTGAAATTATTAAAGAACTGTTTAATTTCAGAAGAGACTTAAAAGTTTGCTAATGAAAGTAACTGCATTCCATGTAACTTTTATTCAATGAAATTATAAAGACACGGATTACAGCAAGTTAACCACTTTATTGTCACAATAAGAGTACACGTAGGGGCGCTGATCCAATACTAGGCGCTAGTGTGTTCCTGTTAACAAGAGGTGACGAGA